CACATGATGATGGTTACATCTAACACTGATATATTAAGGAAAGCTTTAAAAAAAACCCTACAATTAACAAAATTACTCCTCTTACTGTTCCTTGCTCATCCACTTTGCTGGTTGCTTGATGAGAGGTGTTGGTAGTGTAAAACAAGCTGTTCACACCCATGCTGGTTCTTTTATGATTCAGAAATTAATTCCCAGGTTCTGGCTGGTGGAAGCTGTGCTAAAAAGGCTGTAATTCCTTGGATAATAATGTTCAGGTTGATGGTTGTCAATTTTCTCCTCTAGGTGTTTTTATTTATCCACAGGATAAGCTCTAAGCTGCATCCATGAAGTTTCCAGTCTCTGAGGTAGTGTGCACTGGAAACCCAGGCCAAAATTCTTCTTGAGAACTTTTATTTGGGAAAAGTAAAGTGCCAGTCATTTGACAGTCTTTGACAGTCATTTTCCTGTCAGAGAAGGTAGTGTGCACTGGAAACCCAGGCCAAAATTCTTCTTGAGAACTTTTATTTGGGAAAAGTAAAGTGCCAGTGGTGTCTTTGACAGTCATTTTCCTGTCAGAGGGAGCAGCAGAATTGTTTGGAGGTGATGCTGTTGCTGAGGAGGAGCTCTCATTCTGTGACAGCCACACCCCTCGGTGGCACAAAGCCACATCAGGAGCACCAGAGCTCAGAGCTGTCTCATCCCTCCAAAATCTCATTTAAGAGCTGGGATTGGGGTTTTCAGTGACATACATTTCCTCTGATTTTGTAGGAAGAGGAGGAGCAAGAAGAAGGAGGCGAAGGAGCAACAGGGGACCCTAAAAAGGAGAAGAAATCTTTAGATTCAGATGAGAGTGATGAAGATGATGAGGATTATCAGGTACTGCATTCTCAGGGCACTTAATGCACCTAATACTTGGGCAGGGGGGGGAGATGCACACTCTGGATTCTGAGCAGAGCTACCTGGAGTGCATTTTTTATAGAACTACTTTTAGAAGCCAAAAAATGCTGACTTGACAGCATTTTGCCCTCAGAATGAGAACTTGTGAACATTTACAAATGAAATAAAAAGGCAACAAGATTTTTTAAAAGGCTGAAGGTACCTTGATTCATAAACTGTTTTACTGGCTTGTAGTAAAGTCTTGCCTTGTGCTTTTGGGGTGCTTTGCAGTGAGTTTGGGGAGCTCTGGTGCCACCAGAGCTGGATGTGAGAGCTGCTCAAGCTCCCTCTTGTTCTTGACCCACAGCAAAAGCGCAAAGGAGTGGAGGGGTTGATAGACATAGAGAACCCCAACCGTGTCATTCAGACAACCAAAAAAGTCACTCAGCTGGACCTGGATGGACCCAAGGAGCTCTCACGACGAGAGAGGTGAGTGTTCCCTGCTCACCCTGGAATTTCACCCTGGAATTGGATGCAGGGAGGTGTTTCCCCTGCTCTGTGTCAGTGTTTCAGGGGGGCCCGTAAAAGTGTGTTGCTGCCTAAAGCAGGCACTGAGCAGCAGCAAACTGGGCTCACTGTGCTTCAGAATGTGGTTCCTTAGAAACTTCAGAGGGGTTGTCTGTCCTCTGGGAGCAGCTGTGGCCATCCTGGAGCCAGGCAGCCTGCCCTGGTGCTCTGAGAGAAAGGGATTTAGGCCATTCCTTTCCTGAGGTTTTATGCCAAAAATCAGAACAGAAATCCATTAACCAGAGGTCACTTTGGATCCACTTTAGTCGTGCTGCAGAAGGTGCTCTAGTGACAGGTAGCATTTTCCCAGATTCCAGATATTGTGGTGAAATTTTTATCTGGCCAGATTAATTACCTGAAGATCAAAATTTAATCTTCTAGTTTCATTTAGTAATGGTGAGGTTTGGAAGGGAAGGTTTAATCTTTTTTGTTTGGGATAGATTGCTTCAGCAGGAGGACACCTTTGAGGGTAAGGCAGGGAAAAACTTGTCACAGTTCCTGTGATGTGGGGATAATTCATTTGACCTCCTTGTGTGTCCATGTCCTTCCTTAGCTGAGGGAAGGTAGAAATAATCTCTCACCTCACCCCTGTTCAAACCCTGCAAATAGACAGAACCTGTGCTTGAAAACTGGTGAAGGATGCCCAGTTTTGGGGTTTTTCCTGCTTGGAAACCCCTGCTCTGCCTGTTCCTGTGGGCTTGCCTGGATACTCTGGTGACTGGTGTGTTTCCTTTGGGCAGAGAGGAAATAGAGAAGCAAAAGGCAAAAGAAAGATACATGAAAATGCACCTAGCTGGGAAAACAGAGCAAGCCAAGGCAGACCTTGCCCGATTAGCCATCATTCGGAAGCAAAGGGAAGAAGCTGCCAGGAAGAAAGAAGAAGAAAGAAAAGGTTAGAGAATAATTAATCATTTTCTCCTACCTCTCCATGCCATGTTTGCAGTGCCACACATCCCTCCTCTGAGCCTGTGTGGTGCTGCTGGGTGTCATCAACTCCCCTCAGCAAAGCCAGGCTCAGCTGTTTCCCTCTCATAAAGTTCTTGCTTTATAAACAAGAACTTGGGCACCAGAGCAGGGAAAGAGAGAAGGAATTGCCCTTGATATCCATCTTGTCCCCTGCCTCCCAGGCAATGCTGGCTCCAGTTTGGGGGTTTAGCAGGCTCCTTGTGCTGGGTGATTTGTCTGCTGTGCATGTGGGGATCTGAACTGCCCAGGGAGTTCCAGCACTCCTGGAGGAGTCCTCTCTGGAGGCATGAACCAGCATTCTGAACACGGCTCCTTGGTGGCTTCCACAGAGAAATTTGGGCATCAGGGTGGCTTGTGAACACCTGGAGAGAGGCAGGGATAGAAGGGAACATCAAGAGGAGCTGTGCCTCTTACCTCTGAGAAGCTGGTGGGAAGGGTGGGATTTTTTCCATTGCCCAGCTGGCAGGATTCTGATCCCTGGGGCTGCCACAACTCCCCCAGTCCCTGGCGTGCACCGTGAAATGATGAAACTCTGTTGTTCTCCTCCCCAGCAAAAGACGAAGCGGCCATGGCAGGTAAAAGACTGCAGTCACTATCCCTTAACAAGTAAGCACAGGCCATGCAAGAGGAGGAAACACCAGGGAACTGTGCCTGGTCCTGCCAGGAGCTCTGCCTTCCACCGCTGCCACGCAGGGCATCCTGCAGCATTGACCTCACCTCCACCTCCAAGAGACACTGACGATGTGTTTGTCCTCATCCTGGCACAGATTTCCATTTGGGGTTAGGGGCAGCTGCTCTCTGCAGTGCAGAGCTGTGCTGGACAGCAATTCCCTGTAACAGTTTGGAAACATGAATGTTTTTGCTGTTTTTAGGATCAAGAACTCGTAGACGGTGGGAGGGGGGCAGGGTGGGAGGGAGCTGTGTGGGATGGGAGGTGCTTCAAATACTAGATTGCAAGAAAATAGATTGTGGGGTCGTTTTAGGGTGGGGCATGGGGTGGGGAACTGACTTGGTATGAAATCCCAAAGGATAATGTATCTGAGGAATCCAGTTGGCAAAGAGCCCATCACATTTTGCTGCAGGGCATTGCAGTATAAGCTGGGAGCCTGACTTCATGGACATCTGGAGTGCCGTTCCTTCCTGGATTCATCCCTCCTTTCTTGCAGCCAGTCTCCCCTTTTCCCTCCTCTTCATTTTCTTTTTCTCCTCCTTATTAGGGATAGTGCCAGTTTTTAACCACATCATCCTTTGTTTAAAGGAGAAAAACAAACATTTATTGTGTCAGATCCAGATGGAAAAAAAAAAAACCAAAACGCAAAAAAAAAAAAACTTGATCAAGTTTAAAAACCACCAAGAGAACTTGTATATTTGGCTGATTAAACTGTAAGTTATCAGAACTGCTGTGGCCTCGTGTGTGTGTGAGGGCACAGCTGGGGGAGGCACAGCTGCACTTGGGGGCTGCTGGTTGTGATGTGGAGTTTGGCTCAGGGTTCAGGAGCTCTGTCAGCACACACAGCCCCAGGGAAAAAGCTTTTCCTGCTGGTTCTGATGGATGTTTTGCACAATCTGTTTACCACGGCAGGAAACAATTACCCTCAGGCCACTGTCTGGCCTGGCCCCCTGTCACAAGGGCAGTCACCGCACTGTCACCTCCTCTCGGTGTCTCTGGAGGGGAGAAGCTGCAGTCTGCTGTGCCCCAGGGGCTCTGGGGTCTGTTCAGGGACACCAGTGCTCCCAGACTTCCCAAAGGCTGGACATCAGCCCCAGGGCTTGGAGCACTGGAAGGCGCTGGGAGAGGGGCTGCAGCTGTGGAGGTGAAGGGTGACAAATGGGATTTGTTCCGTGTCACCCTGGCCGGGCCTGGCTGCAGGGACTTGGGCACAAGGGTGTGACACAGGGCTGTGCCCCAGGGAGTGTCACCATGAGCTGCTGGCTCCGACCAAGCCAAGATTTGGGGTAGGAAATGCTCTCAGGGAGCTGTGGGAGGTGAGGAGTGCTGGCAGGAGAGGTGCCTGTGCTGTCAGCTCCAGGAGGGAGGAGCTGATGTGGGACAGCCTGGCATGGGATGTTTGGTGATCCTTGGAGCACAGGGAGGTGGATGGGGCAGGATGAGGGGTTTTTGGGATGGAGCAGGGCAGGAGACAGAGGGGGAGAGGGTTGAGGATTGGAAACACATGGAAATGTGGAAAAATCTCCAAGTAACAGCTCCCACTGACTGAGGGCTGGAGCAGAACTCAGATGTCACTGTCCCTGTGGCAGCCAGTGCTCCCTTCCCAGGCCCTGGGAAGGTGCAGGATTAGCTGGGCAGCCCAAGGTCCCTGAGCTGGCTCCAGGCTTGGGAATTGCCCACCTGACCAGGGAACTCAGGGAATGGGAAACCTGTGCTCCCTTCCCTCCTCTGCCCTCCATTTTCCCTAACACCAATCCTGGTTTGAAATGGTGCCGAAGCAGGGAACAGAAAAGTGACATTCCCTTTATCCCCACAGTCCCAATTCCCATTCTGCACTGGTGGCAGAAGGGATGTGACCACCCGTGGCACAGCACTGTGCTCTGCCCTGATCACACCTGTGTTTGCACTGAACTCGTTCTAAAAAAGTGCAAAAAAACCCCCATTTTGGTTTATTCAGGAAAATCCTTTATTTGCTATTTCTCCAAGCAATGTATGACCAGCATTGGGAAGGATGGTAACAAAAACAGTAAGAAAAATGGTTTTCTTTGTCTGGAAACAGCCACCAGGGCTGGCTGGCAGCAGGGACAGGCACTGGTGGCATTGTGACACGGGGTGGGGGTGGCAGAGGGCAGCAGGCAGGGGCAGAGCAGGGGCAGCTGGAAGCCAGGATGCCCTTCCTGGGTGGATCCTTCATTTGATCTTGAGATCCTTCAGCGCCGACTCCAGGCTCTGGAATGAAACAGGAGGGTAAAGAAACTGGGGTGGCTGGGGAGGTGGAAGGGGGGAACTGGGAAGGTTCAGGGCTGGTACTCCCAGCCTGAGGGGTCCACCGGGATCCCTTACCTTGACATCCCAGATGCTCATGCCCCCATCCATCCCCGTGGTACAGAACTGGGAGCACTTGTCCTTCCCACCAGTCAGCACCGAGATCTGGCTGTGGGTGCAAAGAGGGAGCAGGAATCAGTCCCAGGGCTGAGCCCTTAGGAGTGGGAATGGGGCTGGACCCCTTCATCTCCCCCACCAGTGCAGGAAGGCACTGGGGATAGCCAGGGATGCTCCAAGGATGCTCCAGGACCATCCCAGCTTTTGGGACCAGACCTCTCTATCTCCCCTTCCCACGTGCAAGGATTCTCTGGGGATACTCTGGGAAACTCAGGGATGTCCAGGGCTGTCACAGCTCCTGGGGCTGGAGCCTCTCCTCCCACTTGCAGGGATGCCCAGGGACATTCTGGGGCTATCCAAGGATGCTCCAGGGCTGGACAGCAGCACAGCCAGGGGATGCTCAGGGATCACCCCAAGCCTGCCAGCCCCACCTGATGCTGTTCTTGTGCAGGGTGTCCAGGGTGGCGTTGGCCGTGTCCGAGCTCGCCTTCTTGTCCAGGTTCTGGAAGCGCTCGCGGGCGGTGAGGCCGCGCTGGGAGCTCTGCTTGGGGACATCCAGCTTCCCCCCGAAGGTCAGGGCGCCCTGGCTCTCCTCGTAGGTGAACAGCATCGGGCAGCAGTCGTGGCCCTGGGGAGCAAAGCCGCCCTGGTCAGCCCCCGGCCGGCTGCAGCCGCGGCCCCCAGCCCGTGTCCCTGCCCGGACTCACCGCGGCCACCAGGCTGTTCTCGGTGATGAAGGTGACAGCCAGCAGGGGCAGCGTCTCGGTGCACAGGGAGGCAACGCTGCGAGGTGTGAAACACCAGCTGAGCTTCAGCCTCAGTGCTGAGAGTGGCACAGCTCATCACACGGGTGGAGCCCACAAGGGGAGACACCACTCCTCCACCCTGGTGACCTGGGGGTGTTCCAGGGGTGTCCCAGGTCCTGGGGCTGAGCCCTCCGTGTCCCACACCCATGTACAGGGACAGTCAGGGGATACCCAGGGATGGTCAGAGATACTCCAGGGATGCTCAGGGATACCCAGGGCTGCTCCCAGCTCCTGAGGCTGAACTCCTCTACCTCCCCCACACAAGTAGATGCTCAGGGGATACTCATAGATGCCCAGGGATGCTCCAGGGATGTTCTAGGGCTAACCCATCTCCTGAGGCTGAACCTTTCCCTCTCCCCCACCCATATGCAGGGGCGCTCTTATCCCAACCCAACCCAGATTCCTCCATCCCCGTGTTGGTTTGGGGGTCAAGCCCTGCTGCCACCCCCAGCACAGCCTCCCCCAGTCCCCCTCCTGTCCCCAGCCCTGCTTACGCCATCTTCTTGCCAGCGTCGGCGAGGCACAGGGTGCTGTCATGGCTCACCCAGGCCACCCTGGAGCCACTGGCCGAGAAGCAGATGCTGTGCACCCACCCACAGCTGCTGCTCGACTCAAACATCAGCTCCCCAAAGGGCATCTTGGAGCCCCAGGGCGTGGGGCTGGGCCGCTCCTCCACCTCCTTGATGTAGGCTGAGAAGATCCTGGGAGGGGGAGAGCCTTGCATGTGTCCCTGGATGCAGAACCTCTGCCACCCTCATCCCTGCCCCTTGCCTCAGTTGTGTGACTCAGTTTCCCTGGCAGAGCCTGGGGGGTGTCCCCCTACCTCCCATGGGTGCTGTACCCCGGGATGGTCCCCAGGCCTCCCTGCATCTCCCCTGTGCTCCATTCCAGGCTCCAAACAGCACCTGGGGTGAAGCCTGCCCCCAGCTCATCCTTGGGGATCCCCTGCATCAGGCCCCAGTCACCCAGCCCCTGCTCCTCACCTGCACTTGAAGTCACAGGAGCCAGCGGCCAGGAGGACGTTGTTGGGGTGCCAGTCCAGGCTGAGCACCGTCGAGCGGATGGGCTTCTTGATGTGCTTGCAGACCCACCTGTGTGGAGAGGGGGTGGCAGCAGAGGGGAGCATCACCATCCCCAGAGCCCCCCTGGGATTTTGGGGAGCTGCCTGATGCTGGTCAGGGCTCCAAGTGCCCCAGGAGCTGCCCTGGGCCACTGTCCTGCAGTATCAGCTTGGGCATGGGGAGTTTATCCTTCCATTTCCCCATCTGTCTTCACCTCCAGTCTCTCATCTCCCAATCCATCCATCCATCCATCCATCCATCCATCATCCACCCATCCATACATCCATCCACCCATCCATCCACCCATGTGTCCATCCCTCCATCCGTTCCCATCCACCCCTCCATGATCCATCCACCCCTCCACCCATCCATCATCCATGATCCATCCATCCATCCATCCATCCATGATCCATCCATCCATCCATCCATCCATCCCCCCTCTCTTTCCCCTCAGGACAGACCCACTCAGAGCCTCACCAGTCGTTCTCCTGCTCGAAGTAGCAGATGGAGATGAGGCGGGAGCCGCTGCCCACGGCGAATTTGTTCTCCTTGGGGGACCACTTGACGCAGCGGGCGGCGCGGTTGATGCGCAGGATGACCAGGGTGGGCTTCCACACGTTGCCCTTGAGGGTCCACACGTAGGCGTTGCGGTCGGTCCCACACGTCACCAGCCGGTTGCTCTCGGGGGCCCAGTCGATGCCTGGAAGGCACAGGGGGATGATGGTGGCCCAGGGAGCCTCAGGAATGGGAGTGGTGGCACTCAGGGCTGGGGGATGGCTGAAGGTGTGGTTGTTCTGGGTGGTTTCTGCTCCACAGCTGCTCTTTGCCCCACACCATCCCTCCCACCTCAAAGCATTCCATGTCAACCCATCCCACCACATCTCTCTCATCCATCCATCCCCATCCCTCCCCGTGCCTCTCACACCATTCCATTCCATCCCAACCCCATATATCCATCATCCATCCATCCCTCATTCCACCCTACCCATCCCTCCCCTTCCCATCCATCCCATATCACCCCACTCCATCTCACCCATCAATCCATATCCCTTCCCATCCCTCCCTCCCTCCACCTCATCCCTCTCATCTCTCATCCCATCCATCCCACCCCTGGCTGCCTTCAGCGGGACACAACCTGCTCCTCTCTCCCCACCCCTGCACAACCCCATCCATGGGGTGCCAGTGCCATGGGCAGGGCTGGGAGCAGCTCTGGGACAGGCCCAGCCACCACCCGTGTCCCTGTCCCCTCTGCCAGCCAGGACTCACCTGTCACCTGCCCGTTGTGCTCCTTCAGCTCGTGGACTTTGCTCCACTTGGCCCCATCCTTGCGGTAGATGTGAACCTCGTGGTTGTTGGGGCACAGGGCGATCTCTGGGGGTGACAGTGGCCAGGACAAAGCCCTTCCCTGGGTCACAGGCTCTGCAGGGCCAACCAGCACCCACCCCCTCCCCTTTCTGGGCTCCAGGCTCCCACTGAGCCCCCAGCCCTGCTCCTGCACTGCCCTGCTCCTGCAAATTGTCCCTGTGGGAAGGGAGAACCCCACAGCCCACAGCCCAGTGTCATCCCTTCCCTACAGTATGATCCCATGGGGCTGGTGGGATGAGACAGGACAGGATGGGATGGAACAGGATGGCTAGGGGTGCACAGCTCCCAAATCCAGCCCCAGTTTGGGTGCACAGCTCCCAAATCCAACCCCAAACTGGATGCACAGCTCCCAAATCCAGCCCCAATTTGGGTGCACAGCTCACAAATCCAGCCCCATCCCGCCCCGCCCGGCGCTCCGGCGCAGCAGAGAAAGCCCTTTTTGTTCTCCTCATCCCCCGGGCCGCGCTCGGGAAATGCCATCGCCCGTGAATCACCCGGCTCTGCCCCGTCCCTCCCTCCCTGCCGGTGCCTCGGGGCCGGGGCTGCGCTGCCACCCCCGTGCCGGGCTCTGTCCCGGCGCTGCCACCCCCGTGCCGGGCTCTGTCCCGGCAGTGCCACCCCCGTGCCGGGCTCTGTCCCGGCAGTGCCACCCCCGTGCCGGGCTCTGTCCCGGCAGTGCCACCCCCGTGCCGGGCTCTGTCCCGGCGCCGGGACCGGGCACACCGGGATGTGCTGTCCCAGCCCCAAACTGCTTCCCCAGCCCCAGCCCAGCCCTGCCCTGCCCCGCAGCAGGGCCCCCACGGGGGTTTGAGCCAGGACAGTGCCTGGGGTGTCCCCGGGAATGTCGGGTGCCCCGGGCATACTCACGGGTGCGGTCCTTGTTCCAGGCGTGGCAGCTGATGGGCTCCAGCAGGAAGCTGTGGTAGGCCATGGCTCACGGGCTGGGGACAGGGAGAGACCCCCAGGCTGTCAGGACAGGCTGCTGCAGCCACAGGGATGAGATCCCAGCCCCACAGAGTGACCCTTCCCACTGGGATCAGCCCTGGGTTCCAGCCCATGTCTCTCCTCTGCCAGGGAGAGGATTTTCCTGAGGATTTCCAAGCTCAGAAAGTGTCCATTTCCAGGAACTTCTAAACCCTGCTGTCATCCTGCTCCTCCTGGCTGGAACTGGCAGGGCACACAGGGACCCTGGTGCCAGCAGACCCATGTGCACCCCTGGGGTCCCACTATGGGCAGCACCTCCTCTCTGCACCTCAACAGGGCCAGGTCCACTCCCTCCTTCCACACCTCTCATTTAGGGAGAGCCAAAGCCCCATGGAGGCACTCCCACCCCATCAGCGCTCAGCCCCCAGGACTGATCCCTGCTCCTGGCTGAACTCCAGCCATTCCTGCCGGTCCCCAGCTGCCATGGGATGGAGCAGTTTGCCCCAAAGGCCCCTCCAGGTGCCCCAGAAGGGCTCCAAGCAGTGTCACAGCTCCTTGGCCATCCACCCAGGGATGGAGGGAAACACCTCGCCAGGGCGTGGCTGAGGACAGGAATTACTCACAGCCTGCTCTCGGCTATTTTGGGAACTCCCTGAACACGTCCCGTTTTCTTTGGCAGCTAAAAACGTTACAGGGGAAGGGGAAAAAGTTCCTCTTAGCAAAGCTCCATCCCTGGGCTGGGGAAAACAAAATCTGAGGAGCTCCATCAGCTGCCTTCTGTATGTGAAGAAATGCCAGGGCTGATGCAGGACGGCCCTGCTGTCACACAGCCCCAAGGACTCGGGCATGGATGAGGAGGCTGCTGCCCTGTGCAGCCCCACTGCCCCCCCTGGGATGCAGCACAGGGTGTCCCACGGAGGGTACAAAGCTGCTGCTGCCACCACGGGCCTCTCCTCGAGCCCTGCAGATGGAGCAGCACCACGAGGGATGGACAAAACCATCAGCAACAGGCACATTGCAAGAGATCAGGAGAAGAAAAAATGTGTGAAAAAGGGATTTGGGTGAAACGGGCACCTGGCCCAAAGGGCTCCCGGGAGGAGGGATGGGAGGCAGGACACACCGAGGCTCGTTCTGGCTTTGACACTAAGAATACAGCAATGCTTTTTGTTTTTCCAGGTGGTTTGGGAGCTCGGAGGCACAAACCCTCCTCGCTGGGTCCCTGCTGCTCCCTTGCCGAGTGCCACCCGAAGGGACGAGCTCAGCTGAGTGCCAGGGCCGGGAGCCTTTGCCAGGCACGAGAAGGAGTGCGGGCTGCGAGGGCCCTCCCTGCAGTGGGGAATTTGGTGTTTTTATTTCCCCACGGCCCCTTTAGAGCCAGTTCCCCCCTGGCTGAGTCCTGCCCCGCCCTGGAGTGACCCTCCAGGCTCGGCCGCCCCTTCCCCAGCTGGAAGAGCACCAGAGGAGCTGTGGATCCATCCCTCCCTTCCCCCCAACCCGGGGGCTCTTGAGGGAGGAAAACGGGAATTTTCCGACGGCCAGACAGGGCGGGATTGGGAGCTGGAACAGCTCCGTTATCTCCCCGGCCAGCCCAAGCAGCTCGGAAACATCCTCGGAGGCGATAACCAAACCTTGGCAGAGCCGAGCGCCGGGGGCTCCTCCCAGTCCCGGGAGGAAGCCGCACACCAGAGGAGCCGAGTTTGGGGTTTTACGAGCCTGGCGGGGTGGCGGGAGGAGGGTTTGTACCCAGTGAGGATCCTGCTGGCAGCTGGGACCCCCTGAAAGTCTCCCCGGACACTGTGGAGACCCCTGCACCACCAAGACCCCAACAGGGACCCCCGGAGCCCCTCTGCTCCCTGCTGAAGGTGTCACCCCCTGCTCCTGCCAGCCAGGCTGGGGACACCCGTCCCCAGAGCCCAGCGCTGGTGGGGTACCCCACGAGCCCTGAGGGGACACCCCCGTCCCAGGGCAAGGAGCGCTGCTCTGACCCTCCTCTTCCTCGCAGCGGGCACAGCGGGAAGCAGCTGATTCCCGAGGAGGGGAGGCAGATCGCGGCAGCTCTGTCTCTGCCGGCACCAACCCCGAGGGGACCCCCACGGGAGGAATCTTTCCATCCCCCCAAAGCTGTCAGACCGCCGGCAAGAGAAAAAAAACCCCTCAAACTTGCTGACAAAGCTGAGAAAAAAAACCCCAAAACATCCGAAAGACAGCGACAGCGATACTCGCAGGGGCAAGGGGCTGCCTGCACCCCCCGACCCAGCCCGGGGGGACCCCCGAGCCCAGGAGCGGTGACAGCCACAGCCCCACGGGACAGCCCCGGGTCCCGCGGGGCACAGCCCGTCCTTACCTTGCTGGGCAGCGCGGGCTGGGCTCGGTTCCTGGGCGGCGGGGCTCGTTCATGGACTCTGGGCAGTCGACACGAACGGAGCCCGGAGCGAGCGGCGGGAGCTGTGCCTGCCCCGCCGAGGCAGCCCGACTTCCCTTTTCCTCTCCGAGAAATGCAACCACTTCCTTACGTGGGCGTTGGGGGAGCGCAGAGCACTCTGCGGCCGCCCTGCCCCTGTGCTGGGGCCGGGCCGCACACGGACGGGCCCCCGGCCCCGGGATGCTCCCGGCCCTGGCTGGGGCGTGGGCAGCTCGCCCTGGGAGCTCCAGGGAAGGATCGAGCCGGGAGAACAGAAGGGAAGGATCCCCTGCGGCTCGCTCCGGCAGCGGGTGTTGCTCACCCTCGGCCCCCGATGGGGATGGGGGCTCCCCGATGTCTGTGCTGCCCCAGCCGGGAACAGCCGTGCCCTGGCATCGCCTCCCACCGCCGGGACCCCGCGGGGCCGGGAGCGGCAGCAGCTGCTGCCGGTTCCTGCATCCCGCGGAGCCCAGCGGGACCCAGGGCCAGGCTGGCTGCGGTCACCGTGCCTGCAGCCCCACGCAGCAGACATCCAGCCCTCCGGTTTAATCACCTCCTGTGTCAGAGCAACTCATTTTTATCCCGTTCCCGCCTGGGTGCACTCATGCCTTCCCTTCTGGGCATAGGGATGCACTCACTCACCCCTTCCCTCTCTGCTACCCCCCAGATCCCCTGACTGCAAGAAATGAAACACTCGTTATTAGAAGGGAGAGGAAATTGTAAAGCTGAGCGTGACTGCCAGGGAGAAGGTGGGAGACACAGGAAACCAGAGGAGGATCCAGCTCTGTGATGGAGAACAGTGGCTGCCATTCAGAGCTGATCTTCCACAGTAACAGAGCTGAGAAACGAGCAGGGTGTGAAGCAACTCTGGTTCCAGAGGAAGTGGTAAATTTAGTCATTGGGGTTTTTTTTAAAACACTTCTGCATTTTCAGCAGAAATGACAATTTTCAGCTTTGCAAAGCAATGCCATGAGCCAGCTAATCCCCTTGGAGCACAGCAAGGCAGCAACACAGGGAGGAGGAATACACCCTGTGAAGAAAGTTGTGTGCAAATGCCTCCATGAGCTCCTGAGGCTCGGAGCTGAACTGCAAAAGGCACCTGGGGACAAAGACCAGCACAGAAGCCAGACCACACCGACACCTCTGGCTGCAGCTTCCTTTCCCACCAGTTGTTATAAATACAGGATTTTATGAGTTGAGAGCCCAGCTCTAACAGGACACAGAATCCTAGAACCACTGAGGGTGGAAAAAACCTCCCAAATTCACCAAGTCCAACCTGTGACCAATCCCTACCTTGCCATCCAGCTCAGAGCACTGAGTGCCACATCCAGTCACTTCTTGAACACCTCCAGGGATGGTGATTCCCCAGCTTTGAAGTTTCATGGACTTACCACGAGATTTGCTTTTAATTTGTGTTCCCCAGACAAGGCTCAGCAGATTTTTGCCTCACCTTCCACACAGAGCTTTCCATCCTGTCCCCCAGGCACTGCTCTGGGAGCAGGCTTGGGACCAATCCCAAAGGCAACTACAAATAATTCTGGTCACTCACCTTTGGAAAAATGACACCCACTGAGCAGACAACAAAAAAGACATTCAGGTTAATTTGCTGTTGTTATGGATTAAATGCAAAGCAGACAGAATGAAGAGAAGTAGGATAAAATCATTCATCCTCCAAAATCGTCACCTCAAGGGAAGAATTCCCCTGGAAGCAGCTCATCTGAATCTTCACATCCAGGTCATCAAAACTCCAGGTCTGTCACTTTAGAATCTTTCAGTTAAGATGAACTTCTCCTGCTTTAAGGCCATAAAATATCAGTGCAGGGTTTTCCCCACTCTGTCCTTAACACCCCTTTTTGAATCAATAAACATCAAAACAAAGAATCAGTTTTTTTCTTTTTTATTATTATTATTATTTCTAGCAGACAATTTACATAAAATTCCCCTTTTAAGTTAGTGATTCATAACTTCCTGCAATAAACTACTTAAGGAGCAGCTTTGGTAAAAGAATGGAATGAAACAACCAACCAAAAAAAAAAAAAAAAGAACAATCACAGCTGATTTTGAAACCAACACAATTCACCAAATTTAGATTCAAAAGAAAATCTGCCAAGCTGTATTTTCTCAGTGTTTCCAAATATTTCACCTTCCTCCTCCCTTTTCAGGTTTGTGCAGATGTGGGAGCTGCATTCTGTCAAGCAGTTTGTCCTGCTAGATCATGGAAATCCACCTTCACATGATTCGTAGCCCTTGGATGGAGGACTCTAAAGTCTTGAAGGAGAGAAAAAAAAATCTTAATTACAATCTGCTGCCATAGCCTGGGCTAAATAATTCAGTGTAAATGCTAAAAAACAAGCAAAAATCATGAATATTTGAAATTAGACTCAGATATAGAATCCCAGAATGGTTTGGGTTGGAAGGGATCTTAAAGCTCATCTCATTCCAGCCCCTGCCATGGGCACAGCCACCTTCCACTGCCCCAGGGTGCTCCAGGCCCCATCCACCCTGGCCATGGACACTTCCAGGGATCCAGGGGCAGCCACAGCTGCTCTGGGCAACCTGACAGGGAAGAATTTCTTCTTTAAGTAAAGAATTTCTTCCTAATGCAAGAGCTAGAGACCACAACAGTCATTCCTTTCAAACTCAGGCATGTACAGGCCAATGATACAGACCTAAAACTGCACTAAAGCAGCTTAGAGATCACCTCAACTTCTTCTTTGACTCCTCTCCCCACCAGAGCACTCTGGCACCACAGAACACAGACAATCTATTCTTTCCCTAAATCAGTCCCATAGCCCAGTTTTGGGAAGACCAACAGGGACCTCTGTTGGCCAGGCCTGAGCAAAGCAAGCATGGACATTAATATATCCTTTTAGGATTTTCAATATTGTATGTTCCAGCTGTTAGAGACAACTTCTTACTCCTTGGGTAAGTTAATTCTGAGAGGACAGGACCATGTTCTGCAGCAGGGCAGTGAGCAGAGCCCCATGGGATGGGAGAAGGAAGAGGCAGGGGGTTGTGTTGTACAAACTGCTCCAGCCCAACTGAGGCTGAGCCTGGAGAATGAAAGAATTAAGGGGATTCCTACAGGGACGTGAAGTAATTCTACTAAAAAATAAGTCTGTATTAGCACCATCTGCTTAACAAACTGCATCTGCCTTTATGCAGATTCTTGGATCAGTTTTTCTTATGGACTTCACTAATGGTTTCGAATATTCCAGTCTGGATTTCCTGCTGCTACTAAAACCTGGCTTGGGGCTGAGCCCCAGGAGTTGATACTAGAGAATAAAAAAAATTTTTAAAAATCCACCACCCCAGCTAGTTCACATAAACATGGTAGTAAAAGCACATTTTTACCTTAAAATCCCAGATGGTCATTGCTCCATCGATGCCGGTGGTGCAGAATTTCCGACAATCCCGTTTGTCTATCTCATAAATAGACACTTGGCTGCAAACAGAGAGTGAGAGCTCCAACACCCATTCCAGAGAGCCAGAAAACTGGGAAATTTGGGTTGAATTCTACTCCTACTCTTTGGATGGAGACATGACTATACCAGAGCCTACACTAGATTCTTGGTAGAATGCCTCAGAAAAATAAGCCAAGGAAAAGATGCTGAAAGCTCTTTAATGGCTTGGTGAGACAAAAGGTTTCCCTTGAATAAGGAGAAATTGCTCAACATCCCTGGGGATCACATAATTTTTTTTAATGCAAAGATATTTTACCCAATTAACCTGAATGAATCCTTTTGATTAACAGAATTGTGGAATGGTTTGGGGTGGAAGGGACATTAGAACTCATCCAGCCCCACTCCCTGCTATGGGCAGGGACACTTTCCACTATCCCAGGTTGCTCCAACCTGGACTTGAAAGCTTCCAGGGATGGGGCAGCCACAGCTTCTCTGGGCAACCAGGGCCTCCCCACCCTCACAGGGAAGGATTTTTCTGTATGTTTAACCTAAATTTGCCCTCTTTCAGCTTGAAAACAGTGATACATAATAAATAAATACACATTGCAGTAACATCTGAAATGGGAAGCTGGGATGTGAATTTCAGGTGGATTTTGCTGACTGGATTTTGCACAGTGCCACCAGCCTCTTGGGAACTACCCACATATTTGATAAGATAAGCTGTGTCCAAGGTACACAACACATTAACCACGAGCAAACAGCTGTAGCCATGTCAATGATTAACCAACACCCACGTAAATCCCAGAAAAACAGAGCTGCTAGGGAAAGACCACAAGGAATACCAGCTCGCCCTTCTGGTGCAGCAAACCTAAGAGAGAACACTCCCACGCATGGGGGACATTCCCTGGGCTGCTGCTGGCAGCAGGACACTCACGTTATACTGTTTTGGTGCAGTGTCTCCAGGGTGGTGTTGCGGTCTTCCGTGGTGGCTCTTTTGTCCATGTTGCGGAAGCGCTCCATGGCGGAGATGTTGCGCTGGATGCTCTGTTTGGGAATGTCGAGTTTGGAAACGAAGCTCAGCAAGCCACGGTCGTCACAGTTGAAGAGCATTGGGCAGCAGTCGTGGCCCTGCAACCAAAGAGCCATCAGGAAACACCAGCTCAGCACTCCCAGCCTGCCCTTCCAACGTGCAAACACCAGGGCAGAGCTTGTTTAGTGATATTATTAACTGTGCAAGGCATGGGGTTTTCTCCCCCTCCAAAACACGACAAAGCTCTGCAAGGAGGAAACAGCAGACACTTACAGCTGCCACCACGCTGTTCTCGGAGACAAAGGACACGCTCAGGAGTGGGAGGAACTCTGTTTTCAGCTGCGAAACCCTGAGCACAAGGACATTTGTTAGAGGGATTCACTGAAACCTCTCATTTTCGGCTCTAACAAAAAATAGGCACCGTTCCCACGCAAGGATTGTTGGAAAAGTCAAGGTAGCTCGGCTGCCCTGTGGTGACAACAGAAGGTTGTAATTTGTAATAAAAAGTTTCAGCCTAATGCAAGTGTGCTGGAAGATTTATAACAAAGCCAAGTATTCCAGGTGAAAGGCTAACATTACCAAAACTGTGTGTAAACAGGAGCAAGAGTTTAAAGGGAATAACCCCAAAAATATCTGTTTTGATGAATATATTAATTTCATTTGAATACAAAAAACACTTGAAATTTTGATGCTTGACATCTTTGCAGAGGCAAAAAGCCTTGATGTTCATTTAAGTCAACTTCTGCGACTTAATGACAAATAAAG